ATAAACTGACACAAATAATTGTTTAATTATATATAAAATGCAAACATATTTACTTTTTTGCAGATAAACTTGAACAAAATTCGATCTGTTAAAATCATAACTGAAATAATGTAGTGAAGCTGAACTGCAATTTCTCTGAGTACAGAAACAGTGTTTGATTAGTTACATTGACAAAAACCAACTAGATTTTGGCTGAGTGATGAATCAAGGTATTGAGAAGCTAAAACTTCGGTCATGATGTACTATCTCAGATTTTTTCTATTCTTATGTCTTCTATGTTTGTTACAGTATTTATCAAATTTCTCTGTAATCTTGCATTCTAATGCTTCCATGTCAATAAAAGTACTCATACATCTGTCAGTTCTGCAATATAAGGAAAAGACGTTCATATAAAATGCATCTGATTTCTGTTTATTCTTAAACATATGAAGGAAACGTGAAAAAGCCCTTTATTATAGGAGATAAAATTAATCAGACCAATAAATTAACTAGGTGCCGTATTCCAATGGAAACAAAAGCAAAACATATTTTCGACATGCAATTACTTCCTTACACGTTATGTAAGGATTCTTGGTTTTCACGATACTTTCAAGAAATGAAAATTAAATTAAAATAATTCTACCACATCAGTTTTTCAGCACGCCACATATTAGATTTTCATATTAATATGGAGAATTGAAATCTTCAGCATAAAAAAAGATAAGCCTACAACGTTCTGCTTTTTGAATAAGGGCATTAATCCATGATAATGTAATTACAATTTAAAATTGAATCACAAAATAATTACTATATAGTCCAAATTTGATCTAATAATTAGCTATCAATCAATACAATCGACACAATAGAATCTTCTTTGAAAATAAACAGTAGCATGAAAGCTTGTCATCAATAATCTAAAGTATATATCCACCAGAGATGATGGCTACACTCATTCACATTTGTCTCAATCCTAGGCATTGTAATACGGCTATGCATTGTTCGATAAGAGTAACACCATTTATATTTTGAGCAAAATTAACCGATGAAGAAAATATAATCCACACTAACACATTAGAAATTAAGGCTGTGCACTATACCCAAGAAAAAAACAAATATCCACATTTCGAACAACGTTTATTGAATCTTCGTTTTTCAAGCCATTCTAATATTCTGGTTCGTATCGACTTAATCATTTATAATATTTCATTCTAATTCTTATTCTGTTTCATTATTTCTACACATTCAATTGAATTTATCGATACGTTAATTTTTCTTGGTACTGAACTCTCATCCAAAAAAGCTACACTCCTCGATCGTCTTTCACGAACGATCTCTGTGTAGATCCAGTTAATACAAACACAGCAACGGAATTTTATGGATCAGACTACAAAAGCAATATGTTGACTATTTAATAACTAAAGTGCTAAGATATATTCTGATGAATCACTTTGGTGAAAAGAAGAGTATGCAAAGAACATAAATAATGAATCAGGAACTACGATTTTTATAAATCTGAGATTTATCTACGCAAATTAAAAAAAACAACAAATCTTTTCTTTGTGTTTCACTATTGAGTATTTTAAAAAATATTCAATTTGTCTTAAGTTTTCGAAGAATTTCAATTGCTTTATCGAGTGTTTCGTCTTTCTAAAAAAAAAACAAAAAGAAAAAAAATCATATAAATTATTTTATTGAAACTTACTTTAGCAAAGCAAAATCGAATATAATTTTCAGCTAAATGTCGATGTTCAGCTGTATAAAAACCTGTTACAGGAATAGTAGCAAGTTGCTAAAATCAAAAAAGAGAAGTATTTTCAATTACTTCTACATGAATAAATTACTTTTTCTTTGGTTAAATATCGAACAAATTTAAAATCTTTCATATCATCAGCGTCTGATTGAAATTTATCACCAGCTATGTAATATAGAAAACAAAAATAATATTTTCTCTATTAGAAGAAAAATTAAATTATTTTTAAACATACCAAATTGACTATAATCAGCAAGAACAAAATATCCTCCATCAGGTACAACTGGTTTCATTCCACATTCTTTTAAAGCTTGAATAAGTTTATCACGTTTTTCAAGAAATTCATTTGAAATTGAATTAAAATAGCATTCAGGAGAATTTATACGTTTTAATTCATACTCAAAACAGCGTGCAACAACTTCTTGTGATATTGTTGGACATGCATAAACACAATCCTCAAAACGAAAAAGTTTTCTATTTGCTGTTATTTTTTCATCTTGATATATCAAATTACTTGATGAACAATTTGACATGAACGAATAAGATGTTGTGGTCCAATAGTCCAACCTAATTTTAAACCAGTTGATGAAAATGTTTTTCCTGCACTTCCAATTGTTAATGTTCGTTCCCACATATTCGGTAATGTTGCAATACGTATATGTTTTTTATTTTCATCATATACTATCCATTCATAAACTTCATCAGATATACAAATAACGTCATGTTTTTGACATAAACTTGCTATATATTCAAGTTCTTCACGTGTAAAAACCTTTGTTTTTTGTTAATTAAAAATAAAATTTTATTTTATTTTATGAAGATAAAAAAGAATACATACTTTTCCAACAGGATTATTTGGTGTATTGACAATAATAAGACGAGTACGAGAATTAAACAATGATTCTAATTCATTTTTATCAAGTACCCAATCGGAACTTGATGAAATATCACCTTTGGTTGATTCAGGTTTCTAGATTTAATTAAGGTTTTAAAAGAAGTTAATTAGCAATAAAAAAAAAACAATGCTAAGTACCGGTTTAAGTGATATACATCGTGGAACACCATTAGCTGAACGAACCATTGGTTCATAACAATCAAAAAATGGTTCAATTAGAATAACCTAGAGACGTTTATGAGCTTCAGAAAACATTGTAGAAATGATGAAAGATATTTTACTTCATCACCGGGGTTAATAAAAGCATGAATAGAATTGAAAAGCGATGGATAAGCACCACCAGTAATTAGAATTTCATTTAGTGGATCAATTTTTCGATTAAAATATGGTGAATAAACATTTGAAATGGCTTCAACTAATCGTCGATGGCCCTAGTTTTCAAAAGATTCATTAATTTAATTTAGAAAAACAGAAACTCAACTTACAAATCCACGTGTATATTGATGTAAAAGTATATTAGGATCATCGAGAGTTTCTTTATATAGATTAATAAAATAATTCGGTGGTTCATAATCAATAAAACCTTGACCTACATTTACCGCTTTATGCGCAATAGCCAGTGCACTAAATTCAATCCTAAAATAAATCTTTGATATATAAAAACGAATTGAAAGATTACATCAAATTTCATTACCAAATATTTTTTTCTAATCCAATAAACCGTTTTGCTAATAAATTATCTGATTTTTTATCAGAAGTTTTCATTTTTGATGAGTCGTCAGAAGAAGATGCCATCGTCGTAGTGACAAAACGTTTTATGAAGTGTATACGACGAACGAAACACCGAGATAACGAAAGAACAGATGACGAATAGATTTGTGTCGTCATATAAACAAATAGAAAAAATAAAAATATTGATATTTTTTTTCTTGAGTAGTTGCTTTATGGCGCCTCTATCGAAAAAACATATTTGACTGCAATTGGCCAAGACTCTTTCCACACTATCGATAGATCAATTTAGTCAATAACTAAAAAGAAAAGGCTATCTTGAAGGATTCGTTTGTGTTTCCTTTACTCATGCCTGACGATAATAAAACAAAATCTAATGAAAACTCGCTAGTAGCGAGTAGTCGACCAGCAAATGAAACAATTGGCAGTAGTGAATTTACTGAAACAACAGGTTCTTATCCAGTTCGTTTACCAAAACATCCTCATCGTTCATCGGGCGGATTTGTTCTCGAAAAATTTAAAGATTTGTAAGATATTTATTTTATTTTTAATTTATTAAAAGATTTTCTTTCTTTTTTTTTCTAAGTTATGATTATTATTGGCATTACTATCGTTGGGCACCGTCACGCATAGCAGCACGATTTTTGTGGAGTGATAATGGATGGGAATATTTAAAAGAATTTACATCCACAGGCATGTGGTCACTTGATGTTGATGCACCGATTCCTCAACGTATGGCAGCTGGTCTTGGTTTAGGTTTAAAAGCATCCATATTCATTTATGCTGGTAAAGTAAATCTTATTGAATTTATTTTATTCAGTTATTTATTTTAGTTGGTTATCGTAATCTTCGTACTCGATATCAAATTCCTGCTAATGCTGCTGTATTTCGTGCACTTCGTCCATGTGCATTTTTTACTGCATCATGTCTTATTTATTGTGGTTCATGGCCAATTGTTCGTGCTTTACGTGGTTATCCGAAAACAGAAATTGGTCGTGATATTGATGCAGCACTTGTTGGTGCATTATCAGGTGTCTTAATAACAGCAATGTGGATAAGAAATTCTCGTTTTGTTGGAATGTCAATTCCAGTTGCATATGTACTTGGAGGAGTATCAGCTGGTCTTTATAATGCAAGTCATGCTGGTTATGTTACCCATAGCAGTGCACGTGCTGGTTGGGCGGATGTTCAGCATTGGAGACGTGGAAATCCATTTTTTGGACCATCATATGAAGAACGTTTAGCTAAATTTAAAGCCCAACTTCAGAATGCTAAATATAAAGAATATGTTGACACATCAATTAAAACCCGTTGGTGATTCAAACAGACTATTTCAAAGACAATTTGTTCTCCTCTTTTCTCTTTTTGGATTCATGTATATGTAGACGAAGAAAACAAATATCCCATTTTGTCCTTGTCCTTTGAAATCCTAGTATTCATCATGCTTTTTTTTTAGATAGAGAAAAAAAACCATGCCGAAAGAACGTGTGCAAAAGAAAAGTCGAGTTCATAAAGAAATTCAAAAAGAAGGTATAGATTATTTTTAATTTGTCTAGGTTATTTAATATTGTCTGTTCGTATATAGGAATAAATTTTAATAAGGATTTTGGTCAACATATTCTGAAAAATCCTCTTATTATAACCAGTATGGTTGAAAAAGTAATTCTTGTTTTGAAATTATTGAAAGAAGAAAAAATCTCTTCTATATAGGCAGCTATCCGTCCGACTGATGTTGTTGTTGAAGTCGGTCCCGGAACGGGTAATTTAACTGTACGCCTCTTGGAAAAAGCAAAAAAGGTAATTGAAATAAAAATGACTTTAAAAATTTCGTTTATTAATAAATAGGTTGTTGCCTACGAAATCGATCCTCGTCTTGTTGCTGAACTTCAAAAAAGAGTTCAAGGAACGTAAGTATTTACATTCCTATGGAATGGTTTTATATTATTGTATTGATTGATTAGACCATTTAAGTCAAAATTAGATATTGTTATTGGTGACATATTAAAGAGTGAATTACCATTTTTTGATTTATGTGTTGCTAATTTACCATATCAAGTAAAATATAAAGTCAAGCTTATTTTTCAAACAAAAATGTTCTTGTTTTTATTAGATTTCAAGTCCATTTGTATTTAAATTACTTTTACATCGACCAATATTTCGTTGTGCAATTGTTATGTTTCAACGTGAATTTGCACAACGTCTTGTTGCTAAACCTGGTGAAAAACTTTATTGTCGTTTGTCAGTTAATACACAACTTTTAGCTCGTGTTGATCATTTAATGAAAGTTTGTGTTAATTATTTATTTTAATATTGTATTATTTATATAAATAAACTACTTTAGATTGGAAAAAATAATTTTCGACCACCACCAAAAGTTGAATCAAGTGTTGTAAGAATCGAACCAAAAAATCCACCACCAGCTGTTAATTATCAAGTAAAAAATTATTAATGAATGAATTGATTTTTTTTTTATTCTTTACTGTCTTTCATATAAGGAATGGGATGGATTAACAAGAATTTGCTTCACAAGAAAAAATAAACTTTTATCATCAGAATTCAAGTAAATATTTAAAATTTTAGGGAAAAAAAATTTTTTTTTGTTAATATTTTTAGGCAAAAGAAAGTTATTGAATTATTAGAAAAAAATTATCGAATTCATTGTTCAATTCATAATAAAGTCATACCAAAAAAAAGTGAAAACTTTCATTTGAAATAATATTATTTTGTTTTTTTAGACTGTACCAAATGATTTTAATATAAAAACAAAAATTGAAGAAATTCTAACAACAAATCAATTTGCCGATAAACGTGCAAGACATATGGATCTTGATGATTTTCTTGAGTAAGAAAAATTTATATTGTTTCAGTAATTATTTTATTTGAATTATTTATTTAGATTGTTACATGCATTCAATGTTGAGGGCATTCATTTTTGCTGATATTCAATTATTGTTTTTGAATAAAAAGTGTTGTTACCGATCGAATAAATATTTTTCTGTAAAATCGAAAATCACGAAGCTTTTGTCAGAATAGAATGTCTTGGTTTTATCAAGAAAAAAATATCAAAGTTAGCTTGTAATACAAATTGATAGGCTTCTATTGAAAGATTTCAAGAGATAATGATGAAGGCAAATCTGGACTTGGTTTTTAAAACTTAAACGACAGGATGTAACAGCTGTTTTTATATAGTCCGGTGTAGCATTAGACAGGCACAAGTTTAGATTAAGTTGACAATCTAATCAAAGCAACATTATTTTATATACGAAGCAAATTTACCAGGCTATTTATTTGTACAAACATATCAAGTGTATCATTATTGATAGAAAAAAAAAGATTTTAATTCATTGGCGATTTTTCTTTTGTTCCTTTCAATATAGAGTAATAAAAGATCGACGATTATGGACAGATATAAATGTATCTGCTTTGACAAATCCTTTCGATATTAATGGATATTTTTTCTCGTTGGTTTCTTTACATCTTAAAATGGTCCCTTTTCTTAGGTCTAGGTCATTTCTTGACTACATGATATTTCAGTGTGTTCAACTCTCTGTCACAGAATGAGTGACTATCAAGGTGAAACATTCTGAAAATTTGCAGATAATCGAGCTCTATATATTTCACATAAAACATTTTTCAGAACATCAAAGACTTATCGTTAATTTGCAAGATCGTTTCATAGAATAGGCGATTTTCGTTTATGAAGGAGCTAGTATGATGAAATAAGTTTAACAATAGTTAATAGTCCTATTAAAAATTTTGATGCACCAATAATCATCAGAGAATCCCTGGTGGAGTAATATAAATAACTTCTCTATAAACAGAAAATGATTTTCTTGACCTCTACATCGCTGAGGAGTACAAGAATATGACCGCAGGAAGAAAGTCTATATTTTGTTTAAAACTAAACTATAAGTGTATAAAACGGACCAATAATTATCCGTTATCATTATTTGTTGTCTTCGATAGCGTGAACGGACGAAACTTACAGATGGATGACATTTATTTTTCTCAATAGCACAAATAAAGAATGAATAAATGATATATATTCGATTGATTTAAAAAAAGATTACTTACTCACTTAATCTGACGTAAAGAATTTCTAAATTTTTTAGACAACGTTAGAATGTCTATCTATCTATCTATTAGCTAAGTCAAACTAATTCACCAGAGATAGACGAAGGAACGATTCATTACGTTGCATGAGAAAAATATTCCAAAGTAGCGGTTTGCGATTAAAACGAAACATGAAGGAAGAAAATAAATCAAATACGGACAGGAGAGAAACGAAGAAATGGAAATGAAGTGAAAAGAATAGGGAATGATATGGAAGAATGGAAAAAGCACGAAATTATAGGAAAAAATGATTAACAGATAGAAAAAATGAACAAAACTCAATAGTTAAAAATTCGAGAAAAAAAGGACGTTTTAACGTGTTCGAAGCCC